TTTTTTGAGAAATACCAGGGGAAAATATACGGAACAACAGGAACACTGGGGAGCAAAGCAGACATTCAGTTTTTGCAGGACCTGTATCCAAATCTCTCTGTGTGCAAAATACCAACATTCAACAGGAAAAAGTTATTTGAGGTCAAAGGTACTCTGAAAAAAACAGCTGAAGAATGGGAATCTGAAATAAAACATGTGGTCACAGCTCAGATTTCCCCAAATTCATACAGAGAAGGAAGAGCAGCGTTGGTGATCTGTGAAACTATAAACAAAGCCAAAGAGATCTACGAAGAGCTGAAGAGCAGCATCCCAAATAAAAAATTGATTCTCTACTGCCGCAGTGACAGAGACAGTTTGAGTAAAATAGACAAGGAGCTGCTTCCTGGTGATGTCATTGTTGCCACAAACCTTGCCGGCCGTGGCACAGACATTAAAGTGTCCACAGAGGTGAACAATAATGGAGGGTTATTTGTGATCCTCTCCTTCCTCTCCGAGAACACAAGAGTGGAACTCCAGGCTTTTGGACGAACTGCACGCAAAGGTAAACCTGGATCTGCTCAGATAATCATCTCCACTGACCACCTGCAGCCATCTTACAAAACAGTGTCCTCTCTGGAGGAAGCCAAGAGCACAAGGGACCGACTTGCAGCAGAAAAGATAAATCACATAATGAATGATGTTGCTGAGATGAAACTGCGGGAGGACCTGTTTTCAGAATACCTCGAAACACTTCAAGATATTTATAACACCACTGATGGAGACAAGGAAAGAGCTGATGTTGACATCATGAATGAGTTCTGGGGGATTTGGCTGCAAACTAAATCAGAAGAAATTGATCAGTTGAAGAGAAATGAACTGCAAGAGAGTCTGAAAGCTGATTTGTCAAAGGCAAAAAGTCAGTCTGAAAGTCAGACTTCACCATGTTCCAGCATTTATCACTACATCAAGTTTGGAAATATTGCACTGGATGAAAAAAAGTGGGATACCGCAGCCATAATGTTTGAAAAAGCCATGAAACAGGATAAAAGCTGGGCAGCTGTAGCATTTTACAATCATGCATACTGTACTATACAACAAAAGAAATCAGATTACCTCCCTAAGGCCATAGATGATCTAACAAAGGCACAGGAATCTTTGAGGTTTCTTAATGAGGAACTAATAGGCTGTCTTCAGTTTGTAAAAATGTCCTCTGCAGACTCAGCCAACAGCAACACAACCAGCCTGGAAAAACAGTTATCAACCAGGTCCACAATGTATAGTTACTTTGAAAAAAACATTACTGAGGCCATCCAAAAGTTACGAGAAATAAGAGAGAAAGGGAGGGATGCAATGGCCCCAAAATCCCCAATGTTCTCACTATTTTCAGATGCTGATAAAGATCTCCAAGATGAAGCTTACAATCTCAACAGACGAGGTCTGAAATATGTATTTCCTGTGGAAGAAAAGCCTCGTTTCTCATGGGAAGGTCTGCTGGTGTTCTTTCTTGGAGTTTTACAGATTGTTGGAGGAGCACTGCTCACTGCATTTACAGTTGGAACATTTGCTCAAGTTGGAATGGGACTGATTATTGAGGGAATATCAGACTGCATCACTGGCATTGAGGCCATGGTGACAGGAGAATTCAGCTGGAAGTCATGGGCTATAGACAAAGCCATTTCTATTGGTGTCTCTCTCATTGGGTTCGGAGTTGGAAAGCTGATTTCAAAGGGCTTCAAATGTTTTAAATCCTTAGTTAAATTTGGCAAACAGCTTAAGTCAATGCCAAAATTTCTCTCTAGACAAGCTAAAGATGGCTTCAGTGTTGTTTTAAAGACAAATATGAAGAATGCAGTAAAACACACAGCTAAAAAAATTGCAGAAGAACTCATCACCTTTGGATTGGGAAAGGCAGAAGATGAAATAATTAAAACAATATTAGAAGAAATCAAAAACAAGGTGAAAGAGAGAACTGATCACGAAGTGAAATTAAAAATAGAAAAAGAGCCTCCATCTTCATTAGTAGACCTCATTATTCTTTCACACCTTGAGGACAAAAAACAACTTCATGATCTCCTGAATGACGAGAGAAGAAAGGAAGAGCTGCTGGCCGTTTTCACAGACTTAAGCAAAACTGCAATACAGCCATTCCATGAAGACCTCAGCTGGCAGAACAAACTGAATTCATCCCTCTACAAAGTGATTGAAAAAACTAAATCACACACTGGAGGAACAGCAAAAACAATTCTGACATTTATACAAGGTGTCCACATGGTCACACTGGCAGGAGAAGCCATCAGTGCAGTGCTCAGCCTGTCAGAAAAGTTCTTTTCAAATTTTCACGAACAGCTGAAAATATTTAAAGAAAAGCAACGAAAATCAGAGACTGTGAATGTAAGTGATCTGTCTGCAGAAGACATTAAACTGCTGAAAGATTTCAAGCAGGATTTAGCCAGCACCATCAGTACGTTATTGGCTGATGCTTTGGTGGAAGTTTTCCACCAGACGTTCTCCAGTCACATTGTTTCTATTGTTAAAGACAAGGCAAATGGTGTTATTGGTAAATATGTGAGAAAGGGTTTAAAGAGTGAAAGAACAGAGGAAAAGCTCAGAGCTGGACAGAACAACAGATACATTGCATACATGCCAAAACACCCAAATTCTAACCTAAAAGTTGAAGGAGAGGCAGGTCAGCGCTCACGATCACATGCTGAAAAGATCAAGAACTCCACGACTGCAGGCACCATCCTTGATATCAGAGTCCTGTCAGAAGCCACTGGCACTAAAGTTGTCATCCTAACAGAGGATAGCAATGGAAGACTTACCAAAATGCAGGAGCTGAGCCCAGACACTCGACATGCCAATCAAACTGTGACCCTGATCTACAGACCAAAGAGTGACCAATACCCCGATGGCCATTATGATGTGCATATCAACAACCAGACAGTGAGCATAGACAACAAAGGCAAGAACTGTTTGTTTCATGCTTTGGCACGTGGAATGAAACCACAAGCCAGTGAAGAAGAGATCACTGTGGAAGCAAATCGTCTTCGATCTGTGGAGGCTGATGCTCTCCTCAGTTACCCAGGCCAATGGGAGCCTTTCATCAAGCGGAAAGAATTAACTGAAACAATCAGGGGAGGGGACTGGTACATGTTAGAGGGAACTGCACCCAAACAAGCCATAAAAGAAAGCAAAGAGTTACGTCAGAAATTAGTTGGCCAAGTAGAAAAATACAAAAACTGGCAAACACATGCAAAAGGAAATAAAGGAATTGGAAAGTTCATCAATGCAGATCACCAGCCACCAGTCAGTAGCATATTGAAGGCCAGAAAATTGAACCAGAATAGCAGATTAGCAGAAGCCATGCTTGAAGTGGCAACAAACTCATCTACTGGGAACATTTCTGATGTACACAAATATCATGGCCGTGAACTTCCAACAGTTTATGTACCTGCAGAAGTACATCGTGAATTTCCCAGTACAAAATCACAAGCCTTCAGAGACCTTTTGACTAGAGCCATAAGTAGTAATGATGTTGTGGGTACTTTCAAGCTGACAATCCTTGGTTCAATGCCAAGATTCTGGTTGGATAGTAGCAGGAACTTCAAAAACTTCCAGAATACAAATATAAGCAAAAGCAGACTTAAAGATTTTGAAAAAAGTTTTCCACACCACAGTGAAAAGATGGTAAAGGAATGGTCTGACCAGCTTAAAAACAAAGGTGTTATGACAGATGACCATCTAACTACTATTAATAATTGGATCGCTAACCAGGGCTACAAAAATCAAAACGATCCACACAGGAAAGAAGTTGCCAACCTCCTCTGATGAAAAGGTAACATCAAATTTTACATCATATTGTATGTGATTCATAATGAAAGGGATGGGAGGTACCTGGAGTAGCATGCATTGTGGTAAGCATCTGACCAGAGTGGATTTCTGTTTTCTTTTCAGTTTGCGAGAGAGGAGAATGTGACTCTTACAAGCAAATGAAGTACAGTGAAAACCTGGAGATCTTCCACCTACCTAATCATCATTATCAGATATCTCTGTGCCTTTGGTTTAATTTTAACTTAATTTTTGTATTCAGTGTGCTTATCACAGAAAAAAACTGTTTGTTTAGCCATTTTTAGCTCAGTATAGATTGTAAATTAATTTGTTAACTTGCTTAGACTTTGTAGCAAAGCAATAATTACACTGTGTCCAGCAAATTAGTGTGGTGATATTCGATGTGATAGTTTTAATCTTTCAATACCAATGTTGACAATAACAAAAAGGGAAGATTTTAAAACCTGAGACCTGCTGACATTTGTCACCTTTTAACTCAATGTTCAAATATGTGAACAGCTGAAATTGGTCACACATGTTCTGACTCCTTAGCCAGTGCACAAAGAAGACACAAAAATGCAGCAACAAAGTGTGTCTTAAAGTACATTAATAATCACTCTCAAAGGCTTCTAAATCATTAACTCCAGAGTGCCTGAGGGTCCTCCAGTGTTCAAGAGATAAACTACACATGTGTTATATTAAGATCTAGCAGCTTGATTTTCTTTTCTGTTGGTTGGAGCACAAGGTGACTGCTGATTCTGCAAGAGCCTGACTGTGAAAGAAGCTCTGGAGATAAAGAAACTGCTTGCAATGAATCACAGAAGCTACAGAAAAAAACCTGCATGTAGTTCTCTGTAAGCAGCATCCCATTCGTTATCTGTTTAATTCAGTGTAACTATGATGGTGGTGGCGAGGGAGGTTAAAAATGAAATTATAATACATATTATCTGTATTCACCTGAAAACCATATATCCATATCTCTAAAATATTTCTGTCAAAATAAAAGTGAGTTAGTAGTAATAATTGCAGTGATTTCCTGTTTTCTTCCAGTGGTGCAGATTACTGTAAACTGTAGTAATTTCCCTTACTACTATGGAAATGTTTTTACACAATACTGGACAATAAAACTGCAGGGAAATGTACCAATATGATATTACATATTTTAAAAGTTTATTTAAATATATTTAAAACATATTGGTGAAAATATGGCCTATAAACATAATTGGCCACTGTTATGAAATTCTGGATTAAATTGAATTACACACAAGCTGGTTGTCTTTGTGAGTTTTTAATTTGTCTTTGCAAAGTGGTCCGAACAACAATACAAATTTAATCAAGATTCAATCAACCAGGTTCAATCAAAGTTATCACTCTGTGTCATATGGAAACCATGCTGCTGTTTTTAGATGGAATAGGCACCGTTAGTGTGAAGCAACAGTTATAAGAAAAAAAAAACAGAGACAAAATGTCAGGTTTACGGAAAATTGAACCCAAACACAGGACTTCCTAATTACTAAGTTAAACTTTCAGTCTATTTTATTTCATTATTTATTTGTGCAATATCCAGATCGCGGCTGTGGGTGGGATTAAGGGGCCTCTTCCTGTAGTTGAAATTCATGGCATGCTAGTGGTGCCAGTCTCTCTCTGATCTCTACCTTCAGCCGGGGTGGAGTGAGGCAGTGTCGCAGTTCCCAAATAGTTGTTTCTCATCCGTCAGGTTAAAGCTGGCCTCCCCCACTCTCTCATTGCCTGATGTTAGGGCCTTCCTCTCTTTTAATTACTATACTGGTCATAAGTTTGCTCATTGCTAAAAGGTAGGGCAACCTCTATGCTGAAATGACTTAATTGATATTCAGGGAGGCGTTCCAGGTCACGGTTTGAACCGTCAGCCATTAGGTCCAAAGTTGCAGTTTTGTGAAGAGACATCTGCCTCTCCAGAGCAATGTTCCCTCTAAGCTGCGCACGTGCGCAGTTGCGCACTGTTGGCATGGTCTCTGCGCACAGAAAATCTGCGTTGCGCACAAAAAAAAGTAACCTGAATTGAAATTAAAATTAATACTTCCAACAATCATGTTTTGCAGTGTTAGTCAGTAAGTGACTGGCTGCTCCCATATGGAATTAGAACGATGCCACCTTATAGTTCAGCCGATGCGTATATACGCAATCAATCAACGTCATTGACAGGCTATGACAGCGTCCTTATGTGCCGACAAAGGTGTTTTAGCTAGCAAAGCGGCGTGGCTGATGTGGAGTGAAGCCACGTTAATTTCAACGTGTACAACCATTGGAGATGTGAGCAGGACAGACGGAACAATTGACGGAAAAAGTGTTGACTTTATACCAGTTTTTAAATTGTGTTGATAGGCCACGTAAAACCAGAGTTGTGATAAAAATATGCAATGTTTGGTTTTCTTCCTGAATACTGTCGTTGTTATATTTACTGCGGTAAGAAACGGTAAAAACAGCGTTTTATAAGAAAAAAGCCTCGAAAGCCTGTGAGCAAAAACAAACCCCACCCCCCACCTTTCCCATTGGTCCAAAAAAGTACCATGTCGACCAATCAAAAAATGATATGGCAACATGGCATCTTGTTGTTAAGAAGCTGCAAAAAACGTTGTTGTTTGCCAAACCGAGTTACTTTTTGAAGAAGTAACTATATAATTAATTGCCCAACATTGGTCATTATATACTGTAGACAGAGAGTTACAGACTCTCTCCCAGACCACACTCATACTCATATGATTGTATGGTTGCAGGTGTTGTGCCAAAAAGTGATTGTCTGCCAAAAACTGATTTCCGGTATTTGCCAAAAA